TAAAGTTAGTTTGTACATTAAATATTTGAGTTAACCAATTAAACACTAGTTGATTTGTTTCCATGTCGCAAATGTTTTCTTAATTTTTTTATGTTTTTTTTTTTTCCTGGCAGCAAAGAACTTCCGTAGAATCTGTCATTACAAATTCAGGCTGTGAAGCTGAAAATTATTAAAAAAATGTTAATTGATTGATTGTATTTATGAATTATTGGACACAGGAAAAAAAATGTTAATAATTCTGTGATGATTAACTGTTGACTCTTGAACAGACAATAATGGGCTTCCATATATTTAAGAGGTGAGTCATCAAACAAAACAAGTGCACATTTCAAATTTCATACATTTCTTTATTATTATTATTCTTATTATCATAGATATTATTCAAAATTATGTTCTTAACAAGATAAAAGAAAGCAACTGCAAATGCACAACACGTAGACGTCATTCAGCGTCTCTTTGTTTATATATAAAAACAGATATGAACATGAAGAATGATTAGAGGCACACGTTCAGAGAAATTAAAGTGCAGCAATCAGCAAATATTCTGCATCATGTACACAAGAGGAGGAGGAGGAGGGTAATATAAGTTACTGATCTCTTCTAATAATTATCATCAGCTACAATAAAAGTCTTCTCAGTAAACGTAGAGATTTATATTCAGTAACAAGTGCTGACGTACAAAAACTGTTTGAAAAAGCTTCAGTCGTCAGTTAAAGCCGTTAAACTCTCGGACATGTTGTCGCTTCACGTCTCATCAGAACCTCGTTTCGCAAAATTAAAAGTCACTAAATACTCTGAATTCACTTTTCTTGCTACAGTAAAAACAAGAGTGAAAAATACTGTTCTGATTGTTTATTTAATTCCTTCCAACACCCCAAAATCCAAAGAAATTCAGTTTAATTATCACGTATGAGGAAAAAAAAAAAACAATAAATCCGGATGTTTGAGGAGCTGGAAAATATAGAAAATCAATCAATTAATTCAACTGCTCAATCTTTAAATCCAGAGGAGCGATGAGAGAAAGTTCCCGATGAGACGTGAACGCAGCAGCAACATAAAGAGCGGAGAGAGTCCAGTAATGACAACAAACAATACAGGATTATATTCCTAACACTGTGGTGCATTCTGGGACACTGAGTACTCTGTAGGGCTTCTGACTGTAGAAAAATATACTGTAGGTCCAACTTCCTGTTATTGACATCATCTTTGACAAAGTGACGGAGAGAAAAAATCAAAACGTGAAAATCTGAAAAACAAAAAGCTTCAGCGAGCCGACGGAGAGCTCGACGTCCGACGGGAATATTTTACTGAATCGGGTGAAAACTGTCTCCGGCTCTAATGAAAGGTTGTGATTGTGCTTCATGAAGCTACACACCTTCATCTACCTGCCCGTCAGGACACTCAGGTGCTTCTGTAGCTGTGACCTCACTGATGCTGCTTTCAAGTCACGCTGGAGAAAAACAAAAAAACACCTGCAAGTTAAGTCCCTCAAAATGTTTTGGTTGTTTGTCCTTAAACTCACACAGTCAGAAGCTAACAATTCCCACACACTAATGCAACCTGAATGCAGCACTGTGGTCGTCTGAAGAGCATCAGTAATGGATGAACTGACGCCGTCGGACATTGTGCCTCCCAAACCCGGCTGTTGCCATGGTGACAGGTTTGTTTCTGACTNNNNGGGGGGGGGGGTGATGTAGTTTGAACCTTTTTGTGAATGAAAGACAAAAAGTAACAAAAGAATAGAAACAGAAAAATAAAAGCATGGCACCATTTTGGTTCTCTACAACCTGCTGAAGGTTCAAACTGAAACAGAGCGGGAACATCAGTAACTATGAGCGCTTGATTTGCTCTGTCGGGAGTGGCGAGCGGGCGGGTGGGAGGAGCACATTCAGGCTGAACACACTTCAAGTATTTAAAACACATCAAGAACAGATTATCTGAAACTGATCTGGTGACAGAAATGAAGCGTACGGAGAGCGGCGAGGTCATAGAGGAAAAACCATCAGTGCGTACGACTGATTTCCTCTGCTGTGTGTGTGTGTGTGTGTGTGTGTGTCTGTGGTGTTGTGTGTGGTGGTGCTGTGGGTGTGCCTGTCGGTGTGTGTGTGTAACCTTCAGGCTCACCTGGATTTAGTCTTTGTCTGTCCAACAGCGTTAAGGGAGAACAGTGATTGTTAAATGGTGAACTGCTTATTTAGTGATTGTTAAAGGGTGGAACTGCTTGTATTTTAGTTGATGTTAAGGTGAACTTGGCTTTATTCAGTGATTTTTAAGGTGGAACTGCCTTTATGTCAGTGTTTTTTTATGTTTTAATCAGCAGGCTTTGTTTTGATAGGAGGAGACCTCTGGTGTGATAAATTGGGCTCCCGTAGAAACCTCCTGAACCATGAACATCGAAGGAATTTCCTAACCGGGAGAAGCTGACTGTGCAATGACGCCAATGGTGGTGAAGACAACATACTCCCATGGATTCCCTACACTTGCTCACCACCAGGAAACTACAGCCTGTTTGTTAACAGTCAGAGATAAATGCATTTCTGTTTTATCTCCTTTCTGTAAAATGAGAACTGATATTAAATTCCTGACCGCGCAGTTTTTTGTTATTCTTCCTCCATGACGCCGCCCGGCTCAAGAAGAAGCTCTTCAAACCTTTAATGAATGTTTCTGGACAGGATGGATGAGTCACAGCTGGCCGAGCTCACATGCTCAGGTGAGACTACCGCCACGGTTCTCCTCTCAGTTAACAGCTTGACTGGATCACATAACACAAAACAAACAGCTGCTGGCCCTGCATGGCGACCGACTGTCCACTCCCGTGTCCATATCCACAATCCCGAGCAGCTCTGACCCTCACCGTCCTGCTCCCCTCTCTCCGTCGGCCGTGAAAATTCCAGTTAGAACAGCTTGTGAAGTTTTTGGGACTCTGTGTGCGATGAATTCAACACACCTCCACCGCTGCGTCCCTGCTGGTCCCTGCTGTCCTTACAGCGGAACGTGATCTGTGCATGACCTCCCCGGGTGGAGTTAAAGGGCAGCAGACACAACGCAGAGGGAAGGCAACTGACTCCAGAGCAGCGAGGCTTTGCAACCCCAGACTGACGACTCTGTAAACTGGAGATTATGGAACAACGATAGTGGCGACGTGCTGAGAAGACGAGAGAGGACGGATGAGCTCAGACCAGAACCTTCTTAAAGGTTCTGAGTCTTAGACCAACGCGGACTGGTCTCAGGGCAGAACCATTGGTGCAATGAGTTCAACAGGGGTCAAACCACAGCCTTGGACCGGCGTCCGGAGGATCTGACCAGGTTCAACAACGGCTGCAAGTCTTACAAAGCAATCAAAGCTATCGTATATTAATGAATATTTAATAATGTTTCTCATTCAATTCTGGTACATTCATTTCACAATGACCTAAGATTCTATTTCACAACAGAAGAAAATGACCTGTTGTCTGTTTGGCTGCAGCAGAACCACCCAGACCAGAACCGGTCCACCATGTCCGCGAGAGGCAACCTGAAGTAAACCGACCAAACGATAGGCAGCTAAAAACGAATCAAAGCTATAAATAAGAGATAAAAAGCTCGTTCAGTGTGGTTTGCCGTTGCCAACGGTCCCTGGACTCTTGTCCGAACAGTCTGATAGAAATATAAAAAAATAAAAGCTGGAAATTGGTTTATTCTTGAATCGCCAGCTCGTACTCAGCGCCCTGATTGGCCGCTGTTGTCATTCACATGCTCTTCCTGCAGGAGCGCGGCTCGACTGTCCTCCGCGTCGCTGTGGCTTGCAGAGTTGGCGCTCTGAGCGTGTCGCGGAGCCTGCTGGACTTGCTGGCGAGCAGGTCTTGACGTCGCCAGCCTGGTCGCTCGGATGAAGATGCGACGGATAAGAGGGCGAATCAACTGACTGTGCATTGTTGTGGGTTTGTTTTTTCCGGGTTTTTTATTTTTTTGCCGCGCCCGTCTCTCTCTCTTGTTCTGGGAGTGTCGCCGTGTGTGCTTTTTCTCTTGTTTTGGTTTTTCCTCGGTTTGGTCTCTGCCGGCGTCTGGTTGGTTGCTTTTGTGTCTCTGCGTTTGTCTCTTCTTGTTTTTTGTCTTTGTGCCTCTTGCAGTGCTTTTCTTCGGGTTGGCTCTTGGTTGGCCGCCGCTTGTTTTTTGTTTTATCAGATCGGGTTTCCGCGGTTTGTCTGGTTTCGCTGTCTTTCTTTCGTTGTCTGTCGCGTTTCTGTTTGGCTGCGTTTTTTTGCTCTTGGCTTTTGGTCCTCTTGCTCCCTTGCTTGCGTGTCGGCGTTTTTCTTCTCGCCGTGTTTCTTCTTTCGTACAATGTCTTAGGCATTCCTGGTGGCGGTCTGTCGCTGGTTTTCTTGGTCTCTTGCCCTTGTCTTGTTCGTTTCCTGGTGGGCTTCTTTGGCCTCTTGCACTGTCGGATCTTTGGGTTTCTTTGGGTTGCCTTTTGGTTTCAGGTTGCGCGCTGATAGTTCCCGCTCTTTTCCGCTGCGCCGGGTGGCGCTGCGGCTGGGTTCTCGTGTTCATTGACGCTTCTCTGCTTGGCGCTCCCGTTTGGTGGCGTTTTTTGCTCTCCTTCCTTTGCTCTTCTGGGTCGGCCCCTTCATCTTGGGTCTTGGTCTCCTTTCCCTTGGCGCTCGTTTCTGGCGGGCTCTTGTTGGTTCTTGTCCTGGTTGCGGAAGCGGCCTTCGTTCGCCTCTCTCCTGTGGCCGTTCCGTGTGTCGGGCGCCTCTCTCCCATTCATTCACAGAGTGTTAGTTCGCAGCAATGTGTATATAAAATGTATGTATGTACAGGGTTAAATGTAAATGTGATACAGAAATATCAGCTGGATTGGCGTGGGTGTGGCAATGTGTCTCTTGTGTGCCTTGGCTCGTCGTGGAGCTCCTCTCTTCCTCTCTTGCTTGGCTCTGGTTGCTGCTCGAGCTCATTCATGTCCCATTAATGCTGATGTTATTAGTAGGTTCACTTCGGCCCGGTTCTTGTGCTTTTCGTCTTCAGGGGTTCTTTTGTCCTGTGGGCCTCCTGCGCCTGCTGGTTGCCTTTCTCTGTTGTTGCTGGCCCTGGTTT